AAGTGGGGGTTTAATTTAATTTCCCCCCTCCTCGCCCTTCTCCCTTCTCTAAAAAATCAAGTCCCTATAAAAATGGCCTCTCCCTCTCTCTCTTTCCCTCTCCTACTTCCTCTCTCTCCTCCTCTTCTCTCTTCTTCCTCCTCTTTCTCTCTTCTTCTCTCTCCTCTCTCTCTCTCTATAATCAGTCTTATATAATTCTCTCTCCCTCCTCTCTCTCCTCCCATCTCGTCTCTTCTCCTCCTCTGCTCTCTATCTCTCTCTCTTAATCCTCTCCTCTCCTCTCTCTCCTCTCTCTCTCATCTCATCATCTCTCTCTCTCTTCTCTCCTCTCTCTCTCTCTCTCCTCTCCTCCTCCTCTCCTCCTCTCTCCTCTCTCCCCACACGCCCGCCTCGACCTTCTCTCTCTCTCTCTCTCTCTCACCTCCCTCCCTCCGCTCCTCCCTCTCTCCTCCTCCCTCCCTCCCTCCCTCCTCCCTCCCTCCCTCCTCCCTCACTCCTCCCTCCCTCCTCTGCTCTCTGCTCCCTCTCTCATTATTTCTTCTTTCTTCTTATTATTAATTAGCATTTTACCAACAGGAGATAACTGGACGAGTTCATGAGCTGAACAGTCGAGAATTAAATCCAGTCATGAATGAAAGAAAAGAGTGGAGGGAGGAAGAGGGAGGGAGGGAGGGAGAGAAAGGAAAGGAGGGAGAGAGGGAGGAGGGAGGGAGAAAGAAGGGAGGGGGGAGAATGGAGGAAAGGAGAGAGGGAAGGAGGAAGGAGAGAGTGGAGGGAGAGAGGGAGGAGGGAGGGAGGGAGGAGGAGGGAGAGAGAAGAGAGAGAGAGAGAGAGAGAGAGAGAGAGAGAAGAGAGAGAGAGAGAGAGAGAGAAGAGAGAGAGAGAGAGAGAGAAGAGAGGAAGATTATAGATAGATATATAGAGAGAAGAGAAAGAAAAGAGATAAATAGATTGGAAAAATATAGATAGGTAGTTAGAGATAGATAGAGAGATAATTAGAATAATATAGATAGAGAGAGGATGAATATAGATACGAGAGAGAGATACATAATAGATAAGAAGAGAGATAATATTAGATAGAATTAGAGAGAGAGGGGGAAGACAAAACACCTAAAAACGCAAAGACAAAAACCAAAAGAAAATAAATCGCAAGTACAAAACCACCCCTTTCCCTCCTCTAACCCATTTTCACCGGCCTCCCCCCGACCAATTCCCCTGAAAAAAAAAAAAAAAAAAAAAAAAAACGAAAAAACAAAAAAAAAAAAAAAACAGAAAAAAGCAGAAAAAAAAAATAAAAAAAACAGAAAAAAAAAAACAAAAAGAAAACAGCCAGGGCAGACAACAGCACCACCCACCCGCCTCGCAGAATGAATCCCGAGAATGGAAACATCAGAGAGAAAATATGACCTGTTTCCTCAGACAAACAGAGGTCAGCTTAGACGGAGAAATAGGTGCTTTTGGTCGTCGATATGACCTTATTTTTTTTCTTTCTGCCTTGTTCCTTTGTACTCTATTTATTATCTTTTTTTCCCCTTTTTCTTTGATTGTCCCGTTATTGGTTATTGTTGTTATTTATTCATTTAATTTTTTTGGTTTCCTAATTTTATTTTATCTATTTCTTATCTATAGCTGCTCCTTTTTCCGGTTTTGTTATGTTTATTATTACTTAGAAGGTTTTCGTCATCGGGCAGAGAGAGAGAGATAAGACAAATAAGAGAGAAAGAGGACCAGATAAGTAGAC